ATTCTGGATATGTTTTAAAGGTAGAGACATTGCCAAAACCGGTTTGGCTCAGTGGATAGAGCGTCAGCCTGCGGACTGAAGGGTCCCGGGTTCGATTCCGGTCAAGGGCATGTACCTGGGTTGCGGGCACATCCCCAGTGGGGGATGTGCAGGAGGCAGCTGATCGATGTTTCTCTCTCATCGATATTTCTAACTCTCTATCTCTCTCTCTTTCACTCTGTAAAAAAATCAATAAAAATATATTTTAAAAAAAAATAAATAAATAAAGGTAGAGACATAGAAGTGCTGACAGGTCCGATGTGGTTGTGAATTGAGGAAGGTCAAGGTTTCTGGTCTGAACTACTGGAAGAATGGAGTTGCCATCAATAAAACACTGCAGTCTGGAAACTTGGGATTTTCCATAACCTCTTGTTATTGGGAGAGGCTTTTGGAAGGCAGAGACAGGGGGAGGAAGGGCTGGATATTAGGAAAAGGAGACTTAAGGAGGAAAGGCCACGCATGTGAGAAAAGGCTGTTAGAATACAGAGCATGGGAGATCTGTGTGACCACAGGGGCAAAGAAAATAGCCAGTGGGAGTGGTCTTTGAAGAGCAGTAATACTGGTCAGATACAATATGTTATGTTCACTGCTTTCTGAAGGAAAAGAATACTATGGCTCTCCTGGGGATATGGAATACCAGAACGTAAAGATGTAGCATTCCAAATAGTCCTAACTCTTGTCATCTTTCTCTATAATTCCGATACTTTCTCCCTTCAGGTTTCATGAGGTATTATAGGATAGTAGGAAATTTATGGCTTGCATTTATTTATTTATTTATTTATTTATTTATTTATTTATTTATTTTTCTGTGTGTTTCAAATAAAACTTTATTTACAAAAACAGGAAGAGTGCTAGATTTGGCTCATGATCAGTGGTTTGCCAACTCCGATCAGTTATGAATTATGTTAGCAGTAAGGTGAGCCCTCAAAATCAGGGGTCCTGGTAGAACACAAAGGATACACGTGTTCAAGACAGCAAGGCAAATATCTTTACTCCTGTGGAGCATGTGCACGCACAGGGTCTGGCGGCACACACACTATTTATTTATTTATTATTTATTTTTTTTAATATATATTTTATTGATTTTTTACAGAGAGGAATGGAGAGGGACAGAGAGTTAGAAACATCGATCAGCTGCCTCCTGCACACTCCCCACTGGGGATGTGCCCGCAACCAAGGTACATGTCCTTGACCGGAATCGAACCTGGAACCCTTGAGTCTGCAGGCCGAAGCTCTATCCACTGAGCCAAATCGGTCAGGGCAAAACTAACCATTTTGAAGTGAACAATTTAGTGGCATTTAGTACATTCACACTGTTTCACAGTTAACACTATTATTTAGTTTCAGAATATTTTTATTGCCCCAAAGGAAGCCTCAAACCCATTAAGCATTTACTCCCTTTTCCCCTCTTGTCTCAGCACCCTGGCAGAGGCATTAGGCCTGGGCAGGCGACCCCCAGCACCCGCAATCATCAGATCCGCCCTGCTCCTCACCATCACCGGCTCCCTCCCTGTTCGCCGCCTTCGCCAGCTCCACCCCTGCCCAGGCCTAAAGCCTCTGACCGAGGCGTTAGGCCTGGGCAGGGGACCCCGAGCTCCCCACCATCGCTGACTCCACCCCTGCTCCCTGCCATCGCCGGCTCCGCCCCTGCCCAGGCCTAACTCCTCAAGGCATTAGGCCTGGGAAGGAGACCCCTCAGGTCTGATTGCAGGCTCTGATTGCCGCTGGGCGCCTATGTATGCAAATTAACCGCCATCTTTGTTTGGTTAATTTGCATACTCATCCAATTGGCTGGTGGGCATAGCAAAGGTATGGCCAATTTGCATGTTTGTCTATTATTAGGTAAGATATGCTTTCTCTTCCTCTCTGGAATTCCCAGAATATTGTTTCACTCTTTTCATTCAGTTTTCTTTTTTTTTCTCTGACTGGATAAATTTCAAATGTCCTATCTTCCAAGTTGCTGATTCTCTGGCATGGTCTAGTCTGCTTCTGAAGCTCTCTACTGAATTTTCCCATTTAATTATTGTATTTTTCAGCTCTAAGATTTCTGTTTGGGTAATTTTCTCAATGGTTTCTGTTGAACTTCTCATTTTGTTCACTCATTATTTTCCCAGTTTTGTTTAGTTGCCTGTCTATATGTTTTTATAGTTCACTAAACTTCTTTAAGAGGATTATTCTGAATAATTTGTCTGACATGTCATAGATCCCTATTTCTTTAGGTTACTAGTACTTTATTAATTTTGCATAGTGGTATCATATTCACCTGACTTTTCATGATTCTTGATTTCTTATTTTGATATCTGTGTACTTGTATTAGTGGTATTTTCTTCCAGATGTTGTTGAAGAACTCTGTGACAAAACAAATCTGCAGTCAGCTCACTTTGGGTTGTTGGATGTTTCTGCTACTAGAGCCTATTTTGGGGTGAGGCAATGGTTCAAGCTCTGAGGTCAGAGACTGGGGATGTGTGCCACTGGCTGAGAACAGCTGCATAGGGCTACTGGCCTTTGTTCTCTGTCCAAATGAGGCTGTAGGATGGGCTCTGTACTAGTAGTTGCCTGTACTCTGTGGTCAGGATTACTACTACACAGTCAGGACTGTCTATACTCAGCAGTAGGTGGGGCTATGAATTAGCTGTGCAGGCCCTGGGTCCCATCCTGCTACTTCACTAGGTAGGGAAGCTCACTGTTAACCAGAATCAGGTAAGAGTGTACACTAGATATCCTGGTTAGGTGAAGCCACAGTTTTTATCTGCAGATAGGAAAAGCCACAAGCTATTCAAGGGCCACTGTAAGCAGCACTATTAGATGGTAGGGCAGTCTGAAGGCTGTATTCAGCAATGAGTGAGACTATGAAAGAGCTTCTCTGCCTACGTGCAATGGGAGAAGCAGCTTCAAGGCCACTAAGGTTCTTCATTTGTGGTCTTCACACAAACTCACCTGTGCTCCAACCTCCCTGGCTGAACAGGACTACTTGTTTTGCTCTGGGGACCATCGCTTTGCTTACCTGCCTCTCAGCTTGAGCGTTGCTGAGTAATATAGTTTTCAGGTAATATAGCCCTTCCTGTCTGGATGAGCCTTAGGAGGGTTCACTTCAGGCAACTTAAATTTTCTTGAACAGACTTTTTAGTCAGGAGGGGCCAGAAGCTAGGTTTCAAGTGTTTGGGGCTATGACACTCAATTCTTTAGCCTGGGCACAGGCAGACCAGGTTCCAGGACTGGCAAAACTTTTGGAGAACTCAACTGAGGCACGCCCCCCACTGAGCTCCCTGGTCACACTGTGCTACCAACTTGGTTCTGCAGACGCACAAAGCTGCTCATTGGGGTTACTACTTGGGCTTTGCAGGTATCAGGGCAGTCTACTAAGATCTGCATGTTGGTTGTTGGAGGCCCCTCCCCCTTCTCTATCACAATCAGATTCCCAGTGGTTGAGTCCTGCAGATTCCCCTGTAGTCCCTGGGGTGAAACCTGAGTAAGAGCTCCCAGGAAGTGACCCACAATACTCAGGGGTTTGGATATCACTAAAGGCTCAGGGCAGACCTCTCTGTGCGATGCTGTGCTGGTTTGGGGGCAGTCATTCTTGGTCTCTGTGGTGCAGGGTGTACTTCAGCCTAGCATCCCGTGTTCTAGGATTCAATCATTGGTGTCTTGTCCGTGAATTTTTGCTAGTTGGAAGTAAAGTCAAGACTGACCTATGTTGCTATCTGGGTGACATCACTTCCTGCATATATTGAAGAGGGAAATCCTGAAATATATTCATTAAAAGCTGGTTTACAATTACCTAATGCACATGGTCACCAATTTGGTATTGTGTTGTAGAACCATCCTGGAGAACATGTCTTTGATCCTGCTTTGATTTCCCACTACGTACCCAAGGCTCAAAATTAGGAGAGCTGGCCTTAGGCTGACAGTAGGTGACTAGAATTCCCATCTGTAAAATGAGGAGTTGAGACACCTCTCCTACAATAAACTTTAGGAAATAATATTCATACCTTTTGACAAAGAAGTTTTCCTTTTGGACATCTATGCAAATGAACTAAAAAACAGAAGGAAATTTATATGTAAAGATGTCTCTTATAGCATTTTTTTTTTTTTACAATTGTGAAGCAGTCTAAATGTTTGCCAATAGGCAACTAATACTGTATTAACTGAACATAATTTGACAACTATTATAAATACAAAATGGGAGTTTATTTCAATGTAGAAAATGTCTGAGCTAAAATGTTAAAAGTAGCAAGGTGAAAGTTTGTGCACATATTTGCAATTACACAGACTAGAAAACTATCTACATAATAAAAGCCTAAGCAACCATTACGGTGGAACTACCAGAATGACCAGTAGCTATGATGTACACTTGACCACCAGGGGGAAGATGCTCAACACAGGAGCTGCCTCCTGGTGGTTAGTGCGCTCCCATAGGGGGAGTGCTGCTTAGCCAGAAGCCGGGCTCACAGCTGGTGAGTGCAGCGGCGGTGGCAAGAGCCTCTCCCGCAGTAAGGAGAGAGGGGTCCCAGACTGCGAGAGCCCCAGACTGTGAAAGGGATGTCTGACTGCTGGGGATCAGGCCTAAGCTGCAGGCAGACATTCCACGAAGGGTCCCGGACTGTGAGAGGGCCCAGGCCGGGCTGAGGGATTCCCCGCCCCCCCCCCCCCCCAGTGCATGAATTTTGTGCACCGGGCCTCTAGTATATAACATAATAACTGTTTATAATTGGATAGTAATATAATTATACTATAATACTTTGACAGTGTTGACTTCTAAAAGATACCATTCAAAATTAGAATAGTGATTTATTGTCATTTTATTCTTGCAAATGATCAAAGTTGAAGGTCATAATTGCACACATAAATGTAAACACGCCAACCATAAGAGGTGCGTCTTTTTTTTATTTTTTATTTTTTGGTGTGTTTCCATCTTTGGGGAAAAAGCAAACCTGAATTAAAAAAAAAATGTCTCTTTACAGGTATTCCTTTGCCAAAAGAAGATGACATTTCTGCCCCCTTGATCTCCAGCTCACCGGTGAAAGAAGCCCGGGAGTATGAAGACCCCCCAAGCGAAGAGGAAGATAAAATAAAAGAAGAGCCTTTGACTATCTCTGAACTGTCATATAACCCCAGTGCAAGCCTGCTCCCCACCCCAGTTGATGATGATGAGATTGACATGCTCTTTGACTGTCCATCTAGGCATGAGTTGGAAAGAGAAGACCTAGATTCATTTGAGGAACTGGAAGCAGATGAAAATGCCTTTTTGATGGCTGAAGAAGAGGAGCTAAAGGAGGCTCACCGAGCTTTGTCATGGAGCTATGACATTCTGACCGGCCATATTCGGGTGAACCCACTGGTCAAGAGTTTTTCCAGGCTCCTTGTGGTGGGCCTGGGGCTGCTGCTCTTTGTATTCCCCCTGCTCCTCCTCCTTTTGGAGTCAGGTATTGATCTCTCCTTCTTATGTGAAATCCGCCAGACGCCAGAGTTTGAGCAGTTTCACTATGAATATTACTGTCCTCTCAAGGAGTGGGTGGCTGGCAAAGTAAACCTCATTCTCTATATGCTGGGTTGCTCATAAAATACATATCTCATATTACTAAGGGCTATATTCAATATTAGTGATGTGTATTTCTCAAGCAAATGCCTGGTTCTGAATGGTCAAGGAGCCGTCAACACGTGTTCCTTACTCAAAATTAATTATTCAGACCTTTAAGTTAGCTTTCCATAATTCACTGCACTTAATAAGTTTAAATCAAACACAGTAATTTCAGTTATAGGTCAGGGAGTTGGCCTCTAAATAACCCAAAATGTTTATTTTTATTATATCACAGGCAGACTCTTTATCTATTATAATACATAATACATTGAGCTGAATTAGATTTCCCCCCCTTTTAATAGTTATCATCATTATAAGATATAAGGTTCAGAATCAGAATTTTAGTGAAAATTCAAGAGAAAGTTTTTGAATATAATCCTTAGTGAAAATAATGTCCTCTAACCAATGCCTATACTGTTAAATTAATGCTGGGTTTTTGTTTTTTTAAAAATATTTTTATGTGTTCAGAATATTTTGGTAAATTTTTAGCAAAAAACAAAAGAAAAAAAGAAAAAAAAAAGAAGCCTCCTGGAGTTATTGTACAGACTGTAAGACTAATGCACAAAGGGTATGTTGGGAATTTTTTAATGTTTCAGCCCAGGTTTGTTTTTAAAAATAATTTTGGGTAAAAAAAATCCCATAATTTGTTGTTAGCTGCATATGAGGTAGAAAATAGGTAGAAAGACTGTAGTAAGTAGGCTCCTAAAACAAATGACGGAACTGGAGGATGTAGAAACTGAGCATCAAATGGACCACAGGGTCCATTTTCAAAAGTATTTGGATGAGAGGACTTGCTACTTTCATTTGCATTCTGTCCATATATTTTGGCTAAGGAAGCAAAACTTTAAAGGAAAAAGTAAAGATATGTGCCAATTAATTGCATGTTATGGTACATTTATCCATGAGTGGAAGCAGATGTTGGACAAATGGCAAGTAGCAAAAACTGTTTTGGTGAGGCTGGTAGGCAAGTGGTGGTAGGAAGGTGATCTATTTTATGGAAGTGATGGTGATGCAAGGTATTGGATACTGTAAAGAACAGCACACTCGCTGTCCACGTTGACATGAATATATTTAAGTGGATCTAAATAAAAGTGGAGAAATGTTAAGGTACATTTTTGGTTCCTCATGCCATTCATTGTGTTTCTGTGGAAGAAACTTTAAAAGAAGTATGTGTATGTGAGAGAGGGGGTGGGGAGAGAACGGATTCTGGCTTTTTGATAAATGCCAATTATCTTTTGTGATAGTAATTATATTCTTTTCCTGGTTTCTTTAAGAACTCATTCATAATTGGGGCTCTCGTTAAGGAAGTAGGCGGGATTCATTAAATGACATATTTCAGCTTGGGTGAAGTAGTGAGATTCAGTAGAAGGGACAAATGTTCTAGTACCTTCCTTCATACCATTAAATCCATGACAGAAAGGCTCTGATGCCTTCCCAGGCAGCATAATGACCAATCCTGCGGTATACCGTAAGTGAGAAAGGTAAGAGCAAGGAGGTTTGGATTTCTCCATGAATTGAAAATGTTCCATTGCCTTCATTTACAAAGAGATTGGGCTTCCTGTAATCTCTCCCTAACTCCAATGGACACTTCAGTTTTATATTAGCATAATCTCCACACTGGTCATTCCAGTCCTACTTACTCATAGAGCTCTGAGTGCTTTATTAGATATTCAATTTTGAAAGTAAGTTTTAAAAGTTAGCTTATGAAGCCTTCAGTTAAGCAAACTATAATATTCATTTTATATTAAGTTTGTAGGGTGTTCTTTCTCATGTGCTTTCTTTTTTCATTTTAATGTTTCATACCTGAAATTGGATAACAATATATACACATATATTTTCTATAGTTCATTTTGGAAGTTTGCAAATGACCGGCTTTGAAATTGAAGTTATTTCCCCCCCTCCCTTTTCATACGACATTGAAGTCATACTTTCTGATAAAAGGGCCCACCAGTGTTCCCTTTCTGATTATGCTTCAATTTCTGACCATGCCAAATCATCTAGCTTTCGTCCTTTAAAATAATATTTTTAAATTATGGAAGAAATATATTGCCCATCATAAAACATTTGAAAACTACTGACAGGATAAATATCACATGTAGTCCAACCATGCAGATCTATATTAATTAGTAATACATTTATTATTTTTACATTTCCAGCTAACATCTCTTTTTTCTCTTAGGCGAAAACTTGATTATTGAATAGAAATATTTTAAGTGAAGGAGTTGACAGGATAGGGTCGGCTGAATTTAAACAATAGTCACCAAAAGTAAAAGTGGGATAGAATAAGAGCCATTTTAGGAATACCACTTAAGTTTGGTAGAAGACTTGTCACCAGCTGCCTGAATGAAATGAGAAAAAGACTGCTTCCAAGATGGAAAGTATATAATAATATAGTGAGATACAGTGGTCAAAGCAAGTGTGTGAGTATATGTATAGTCCATATTATTGGCATATGTGTTTATGTATGAATATATGTCACCCCACTGATATGCCCCTCATACACAGTTGTGTTTACTTTTTCCCAATTGAGGAATTTGTGATGTTATTATTCCTTTTCCCCTATCAGTTATCATGGTGGATAAAACAGTCTCAAAGGTTTCAATTTCTCATGAAAATCACTGTGTGTACATAATTATAAATATACACACACATATATGGCAAATACATATACACACACAATCTTGTCTTTAGTGCTATTGCAAGTTGGATCATGAAAAAGTGTAGGTAAAGTATTGTGTTTCTGTCTGTGCTTGGAACATGTAAAATGTTATGTATTTGGAATATATTTTGTGGCTTGTCTAATATTTATAAAATCAACTCTGGGAAGAATTCAATATGAATTGATTTCATTGAAATACTAGGGATATGGGGGCCATGTTACCTATAATTGGAGCCTTATCTTTGTATAGTGAAATTTGCATTTCTATGTCAACATTCAGATTGTTTTATATGTTAATATGGTGGCAGAAATCCCTAATAAACGTACTCTGGGGAAAAATGTTTCAGCAATCATTTAGTTTTATTCACAGCAAAACTGTATAAATAGGCTGTTGGAAACAACAGAAAGGTGTCATCTAGGACCATGAAATGAGGTCACCCTTGAATGGTGACAGTGTGAAAAACATGACAGACAATGGATGGGAGTAATATTTTGCAGAAGCCACCCTGGCTAAAAGCAGGAATATTGGGTATACTGGAAAAACACCCATCTGAGAGACAGCTATGGCACCAAGGTAACTAGAGAAACAGAAAAAAAAAGGAGTGTTCTGCATGACAGGTAGGAGGGAGGAGGAAGGAATTTAGAGTGCTAGAAATTAGTATGTCACCATTTCTGGCCTGAAAAGGGTGTCTTCCTGTGCTAGGAATAGTTACGCAGCTTCGGCTCTGCAACACTTGCCATTCACCTTCTCCTGCCTGTTCATGGCCCTGGGAGAATTTGCCTTTTCTATTCTATCCCTATCTTCTCCTCCATGCAGCATGGCCCTCTGCTTTGGTTTGTCACAAAGCTAAAACTGCACACCTGACAGTGAAATCAGAGGGTTTTATTCTGCATGAAGCAAAAGGGACTCTCTGTGCTACAGGAACACCATGTGTCCTGTGGAACTGTACCCCAGCTGTGTGGCCCCTTAAGTCTATCAAGTTCTTCCCCCCTGCCCAGTTTTATCGAGATATAATTAACATATGACACTGTATTAGTTTTAGGTATACAACAATGATTGAGTTTAGCAAAATCCATTACCTAACAGTTACAATTTTTTTCTTGTGATGAGAACTTTTAAGATCTAACTCTCTTAGCAACTTTCAAATATGCAATACAGTATTATCAACTGTACTCACCATACTGTATATTATACTCTCTGAACTTATTTATCTTACAATTAGAAATTTGTACCTTCTGACCCCTTTCATCCATTTCACCCATTGGAGGTGTGGGGGTGTGTGAAGTCTGTCAAGTTCAAGTTCTTACTCAGCAGTCCCCAGAGGTTCAGGATCTAGAGTACAGGCAAGAAAAGGAATCCATGGTTAGTGTGCAGGCATGAGCTGACATGGACCTACTGTCCCAGCTCTAGTCAGTACCTTTTTGCGGGTTTAGTATCTGCAGGCTGGAAGGCTCGCACAAAATGATCTTTGGCCACTTAGTTGTTGAGTGTTCCAGGCTCCCAACCTAACCTTGCCGCTTGGTAGAAACCCTTTCCTTATTCTATCATTTCTTGCTCAAATAAATAGAGGAAAGATCTCTTAAACACACACTCCAGCTTGGAAGGAAAGTACTGGGGAGGAGCTTCCATCTGTGGGGTAATCTTGGGATGGTTATGATTGATGAATTTGAGACTCTTTGGGCCATCTTTCTCTTCTGGGTGGAGATATTGTGCTAAAAGTCCCTGCTTACTTGTCCTCCTGCTTCTCTCTCTCTCTCTCTCTCTTTCTCTTGGACCTGCTTTTGGGCATCCAGTCTCCATGCAGTAAACAGACCCAGCAGGACCTGCCCGTGGTGGGCCAGTCAGGACTCTGCTCTCCACAATCCAGCCTCGTTTGTGATGGGGTGGGTAAGTCTGGCGAGCCCTGCCCAGTGGGCTCAGCTGTCGTCACTTCAGAGAGGACAAAAGAAGCCTCACTTGGGCCTCAAATCCCAGCTGTGTTCTCCAATCCATCAATAAAACTGATTTTAATCCTCTTTTGGCCAAAGTGTATTATTTATTGGGAACTGGGGTTGGGAGGAGCAAGATTTACACTAAACACACTCAAGAACGTTCAGGATCTCTGCAGCCTCCAATGTTGCAAGGAAGGAGTGGAGAGGTTGCTCCTGGCTGACCCTCAAGCATCAGGGGATGTCTGCCACTGACCTCAGCATGTCACCATTTCTGGCCAGAAAAAGGTGTCTTCCTGTGCTAGGAATAGCTACCCATGCCTTGCAAATGGGTGAGGGAACTTGGGACTTAAAATCTTAGTAAAGACCAGGGCATTGATTGGAAGCACACATCTCTACTCTTTACCTATGGCTGATGCTTACCCAATATCACTTTGGAAAGAGAACCAAGGCCACTTTTCTGACTGTAAAGGAAAACTCTCAGAACAAAGGATAAGCTTTGTGTGAGTATCAAGTATTGAAACAAGTCTTGCAAATTATTCAGCTCCTCCAATTAACACGGATCAACTGAGTCTCCTCATCTACAAGAATTATGATTTTGGCAATTACAAGGATTTTGAGTTTTCCAAGGTAAGTACCCTTCAAGGAAGACAATGATTATTAACATACTAGAGGCCTGGTGCATGAAATGCATGCAT